GCCATCAGCTTTAAATTTTCATGTCTTCCTGCAATTACACACCTGAAAGCCAGAAACTGTCCTTCCATTTCTTTGGCAACCGGCATCGGAAAAACTATTACAGCCCTTTTACATGATTAACTGGGATTAGTCAATACCAAACTGCTGTAGATTCATATACAACCTTTAGGAGAACACAGGTGTCCTATAATTTTGGACTTCTATGAAAGCACTCATCTATTGTCTTGACAAAAAACACAATCAACAGTGCAGACATACTAACCTCATTTTGTGGTTGATGTTCATTTGTCAAATACAAGAAGCAGGTGTCTATATAAAAGAGACTCATCTATTCAGCAATTTTACTTGGAAATATAATAACTGCAGGTATTGTATTTCTAAGCTACTTTTCACTCCTCCCTGTTCTGCACTGTATTATTTTAACAGCGAACATGTGAGAACCAGCCTGGAGCTATGTTCAGCAAAAGGAGACGACTGCTGCCAGTGACAGGATTAAAAGTATGTGGGTAGGACCCATCTCCGGAGGATTTGTTAGCCATGAGAGAATTTTACTTCTGCTCTACAGCTGGCATATTGGTTTCCTTGAACAGAAATTCCCTTCAGTATGCCAGAGAAGAGTAAAATTACCTCCCCTAGATTTTGAGAGAACAAGTGCCAGAAGTGTCTGCCCACCAAAACTTCCCCCAGCATCAGCCCAGCCATCCCTACGCTGCTAAGGCAGCTACAGCACTTCCGTTCTGCACACTTTTTCTTCAGTTGCCAAGTGTGTACTTGTACACAGGCTCCCACAGAAAACATTCTTATCCCTCCATCTACTGAAGCAATGCATTGATGGATATTTTAGGTCATTTCTGGCCATAGTAGAGGAGCTGATGGGAAGCCTCACTTTTGACAGCAGGATGCATATGGTAGCTGTCGGGTGCTGATCTGCTTTCCCGACAGCTGCCCTAAGTGACATCCCGACCAGAAAGCCCAGTACCAAAAGAGAAGGATCCTCTGCCACGAGCTGCTTCACCACTGAAACACCACCATTTAGTACAGGGAGGAGGAAAGGTAAGAACAAAAGCCAACCAGACCTGCCCTTTACCACCCACTCACCCCACCAGTGAAAGAACTAAAGGGGGGAAAAGGCTGAAGTAAAACAGAGGCAGCTCTTCCCCCACTGTCAGCCACCAACACTCTCCTCAAAGACACCTCTCTAAGGAGTCATGGGCACCCTCCACTACAGGCTGGGCAGGGAGATGGGCTCCAGACCAAACAAAACCTTCCCAGGAACACAGGAAGGCTAAAGGAAGCAATCAGACCCAGCAACACCATGCTGGAAAGCACCTACACTGCAGGCAGCCACAAATCAGTGAACAGGCCAATCACTACAGTCACTTTTTATTACAGTTGGAGAGGATTATCAGGAAATAGATTTAAAAAGTACATACAAGATTTCCTCAAGATAGTTTTCTCATGTCATCTGATTTGGATTCTCTGAACCTCACTCTGAAATACCAACTCTGTTGATGCTCCTCCCAGAGCTCATATTTGCACTCACAGCTTGAAATAACTTGCCAGTTTTATCAACTTGCTTTTAGAGGATTTGGGGTGTGAATGGAAAGAGCCTTTTACAAGTAAGGTAAAGCAGAGATTGTTCCAAAATGTTATTCCACCACACCCCATTCAGAAATAATTGTGGAGCAAGTGGCTCCTGCCAGCCTTACCATAACCCAGAGCTGCAGCACAGACAGTGGAGAGAATGCAAGCTTCTCACAAGTATTTTATTGTGCCATGTTTCCACATGTAGCATTTACCTTACTTGAAGGCAAGGATTAGGGGGAAAAAAGCCATTTTTCTTTTCCCTTGAATCTCCCATCTTTAGTGACTATATATAGCTTGCAATGATTACCTTGTTACTCTTTTTAAAGCAGGTTCTCAGCTAGCAATGACCATCAGAATCACCAGTTTAGACTACACACACCACAAAGTATTAGATACTCAAAAAATATGAAGCTGAATAACTTGTCTGTTTACATTTTTAGGTACACACAATACCTGCAGCCTTGCAATAAAAATTTCTTAAAATGCCTGGATAAAAGCAGAATCTAGCTGCACCTAAAATGGGCCTCTAAACCAGGGTCTAAAACAGTACCCTGTTCAACTCCTTTTGTACCAAAAGGCACTCATGACTGGAAGGCTGCAACTTGCAGAATTTTTCCTGTCCTCAAAAAACAAAATTCCAGAGAGCTTAATAAAAAATAAATCAAAGATATTAAAGTAAATGCACATTTTCAGTTTTTTGTTTTTTTTTTTTTATGAGCTATAATATTAATGGATGTGCTGGGCTTTTCTAATCATCATTCATCATCTAATCATCATTCAGAATGAAACTGTTGTGGCAGACAGTAAGAAGTGCTTTTCCACAAATTCTTCTTACAAGCTGTGGTTCCAACTCAGAAATAAAACTATACTCCCATTCCTTTCAAAAAGCATTCTATTTCTTTTATAAACATCTTGAGTTCTGTTGTTTTATAAACAACATGTGTTCTGTGTTCTGGTCTCATTTCCCCATTTCCAGCACTAAGCTTAAAAGAACATAATTAGATACATAGATAAAGTGCAGTTATTTGTGGTTTGGTCTTTTTTCTAAGAACAATATGCTCCTGAAAATGTTTTCTTCCCATTGTGCCCTCTAAGAATGATTTTTTTTTTAAAAAAAAGAAAGTCTTGCACTCTTGAACCCATGCCTATTTTCTATGCTATTTTTCCAGAAGCAAAATTATTATGGCCTTTTCCCAGACTTTTATTCTGGAGGGCTGATCCTTTAGAGGGCAGATGAGCTAACAAAAAGCCAAGGACATTATCAGTTCCAGCACTTACCCAAAGCCTGACTTTCATCCCACCTCTGATCCTGTTTCCGCATTATTTAAGGAGAAAATACTGCAAGTCATGAAGCTTGCTTCATAATGACAGGCTGCTTCAGAGACAAGAAAAATATTGTGCAATTTGTTTTCTGCAGTGAAAAAAACTGACCTCATATTTCTCATACCCGCCCTCCTGGGAGTTTAGTTTTATCTCTTTTAAAAAAGTCCAGGTGATTCTGATGGATTCTTTTTATAAAGAGGTCTACAGAACACTTCTGGCAAGCATGAAATAGCAGACTGTGATGCAGGGGTTGAAATTCACGTGCCAGATATGCTTGTGGGTTTTCTTGGTAACAGACAACAGCTACTTATTTAACCATGCCCTCAGATGATGTTTCTCACTGACTTGGGAAGACCCATATCCTGGGGTTGGAACATAAAAGCAAAGAATTTAAATTCAAGAGTAATTTGGTGCAACTTCTACCACAATGTAGCAGCTGTACAGACAGGTTTGGGGGGTTACTTTTTTTCCTTTATTCCTTGCTTCCTTAAGCCTGAGAAAGACCCTAAAACATAGTCATGGGAGCAAGAAGGAAAAAAAAATTCAAGATCAACTAATCTTAATCACACTGAAGTTTTCACATGTTTTCTCCAGCAACAAACACACTAAAGAATGTCTGTTTGGGCTGTACAGTCATATACTTCAACAACCACTGTTCTTCCTCCCATGTTCAGCTGCTGATGGTTCATCACTGGTGCTGTAGCAATGCTCAGTGTGGCTCTCCTGATATTTCTGATAAGGACTTACTGGCACACAGTCTCCCATAAAAACCTCAGGGTGTAACTGAGGCTCATAGCTAACACCCCTCCACAAAACACATCTACGTCCACTGACAGCTACTGGGAATACTTCCAAACTGCTGTCTTTGGTGCTCCTTGGGGACCCACTGTCTAGCTAATAAATAAAGGAAAGCCATAAGTTTCCTTCAAACACACTAAAGCAGCATAGGAACTTACAGCTAGTGCATGCTGGAAAAGAAGAAACAGTCCTATAAGGCCTAGCATTACAGTCCTCAAGGAAAAGGGGGGAAAAAAAAGTATTTTTACTGTATGACTCTAACCTGAGAGATACTGACTCAGTGTTGAAACAACACTCTCTTGTCTGCAGTTCTTCTGAGTGAGAAGAGAATAAAGTTAGTCCTTATCCATCATCTACAAGTTTAGCAGAAGAGATCAGTGTCTCAATTTCCACCTGACAGAGGGACTTGAAGAGAAAGAAACCACAAACAAAACCACAGAATAACACTTCAATGAAAACATGCGCTATCAAGTTTAAATTTCTACATATTTAGGGGTAAAATGGTCTTGCGAATTACAACACCCCTCTCCCCGTTTCTGCTTTAGCATATCTGAATTGGCTGGTGACAATTACACAATTTATTTTTATGTTCAATACCCAAACGTTCCAGCTCTCTCAGTTTGCGAGAGCACAGAATTTATCGAGCAAGAACGCGTCTGACAAAAACGAACAGATGTCAACCATACTTTAAACAACGCTCAGCATTCCACTGAGGATAATTAACCACCACCATCGTCATTTCCCCTATTTTGGGGGGGCTGAAGGAAGGAATGGGGGTTTCTCGCGGCCCCAGCAAGCCCAAAGGCCCCCCCCGGAGCCCGGCCGAGCGCTGCCACCGTGCCCGCTCCAGCGCTGCGCTGTGGCGGGGGGGCCGCCTGCTGCATCCCGCTGCCTGCGGCTGCACAACCGCGCTCCCAGCACGCCTACGGCCAGCCAACACAATGGAAACGCAGCCGTGAGGGACAGATTCATTTTATTGTTGAGACAGCGCTACGGTACAACCGAGTGGCCCGGTGTGCCAGGCCGCCGCGCCAGGGCGGTCGGGGCAGCCCCCGGCGGCCCCGGCTGCGCGGACCCACGGCCGCCCGGGGCGCTCGGTGCCGGCCGCAGCCCGCTCCGGGCCGGGACACGGGGCAGGGCCCGCCGCGGTGCCGCTGCCGAGCGGGCTCCGGGGCGCTGCGCGGCACCTTCCGCCGGCAGCGGGGAGGGGCGGCCGAGAGCGGCGGGCAGGTGAGGGGTGCGGGGCCCGGGAGGAGCGGGAGGGCGGAGGGGCGCGGTGCCGCCGTACTCACCGCGCGGGCCGGCGCGGAGCCCCGGCTGCACTTCCTGCGTGCTCGGAAATGAGCGGGCGGGACCCTCCGCCGCTCCGCTTAAAGGGGACGGGCCGGCCGCCCCCGACCGCCCCCGGGGCGGGCCCGCGTCCCCCGCGCAGTCCCGCGGGGAAAGCGGGGCCGCCGCCGCCGCGCGGCAGCGGGGACGGGCCGGGGGTCTCCCTCCCTCCGCCCTGAGGCGGGGACGCGCCCGCGGCGATGCGCCCCGGCAGCGGCGAGAAGCCCGCGCCTGAGGGCGAGAGCCGGGGCGGATCAATGCAGCCTCCGCAGCTGCGCCCGCAGCGCCCGCAGGCCGGGCCCCTCAGCGCCGCGGCCACACCGAGCGCTCCCGCAGCGGGCGCGGCCCGTGCGCTGCCCGCTCGCACCTCTGGGACACTGCTCTGCCCACCGGACAGGGACCCTGCACCTCTGGGACACCGCTCTGCCCACCGGACAGGGGCCCTGCACCTCTGGGACACCGCTCTGCCCACCGGACAGGGACCCTGTCGGGAACAGCGCGGCACTGCCCAGCGCACACAGCACAGCTGCTCTGCCAGTCCTATGGCTCGCAGAGGTCCGGCAGCAGCACAGTGATGCTGATTTCTCAAATGTTAGCCAAACCGTGAAATTGTGATGTAGCCTTTCTGGTGGAAACAAGAAGCAGAATTTACCAATAATTATTTTCTATTTATCCAAGTATTTATGAACAGTTCTGTATTTCCAGAAGAACATTTCATTACCCTATTTTTTTTTTTTTTTAATTATTAGTTTTCTGCAAGGCTTGACCTGAAAGGAAGACAGTTTTGGGAACTCATGCAGCTTTCAGCCACGTGCATGAATGGTGGCCTGTAGCAGTTTAAAAGGGTAAAGCTCAGGAAGCAGGTAAGGCATGAATGCTCTTCCACAGCTATATACCAAATGTTTTTGGTCCCACTCATCAAGAACAGAGAAAGCCAGTAAAGGCTTATTATGTACAGGCCTGCATCCCCTAACCTGACATCACTCTGCTGGATTGCCCGACTGCTCACCTGCCTCAAAGGCAAGCACTGAGGGCTTTTCAGAACAGAGCCCCGATGGTGTGAGCAGCAGAGGTTGCATGCTTTGTCATGTTACTGCTCTGCCGAGGTCTGCACCCCATTTAGCACAGAGCAGCCCTTTGTCTTCAGGCAGGCAGAAATCCATTTGTTCAGAAATAGTTACAGCATATAGCGTGGGAGGGGACTGGGTGTCCAAGGACCAGATCTGTTCAGTCTACGTTTCAAGCCCTCAGACAGAAAAGGTCTTTCCAGGGAATACCTTAAATGAACAGGGAAAAGACACTTGACAGGTATGACCAGCACTTTCAGGTACCATCCAGGCACTTTCCTATCCATTAAAACTTGTCGCAATGTTAGATCTTCATTTTAAGTATCCCTCAAAAATATACTTGAAAAGTATATTCATAGAAGAGAATTATCAGGTTTTAAATATTCACGTATGCACTCCTCAAACTAGCTAAATGTGGCTTCATTACTATTTTAAACCTGACCTGATGCAAAGTTTCAGTATTGCATGTTACAGATGACTGTTGAACATCTTGCTTGTTGTCTTTGTTGTGGATAATGAGTAGGAGTTTAGTAGACACCGACACACTGGAGACGGCAGTGTTCTGTAGACATAATATTTGTGAGTACAAGAAGATAACGGAATGGAAATAACTGAAATTACTGATTTTGTCAACTAACCCTATATTCTAGATCTGAAACAAACTCTGACAATGCTGCAGCACCCACTGGCTGGCCTACAGAGAGCCACCAGACTCTGAATATTGTCCTTCTATTATCCTGCTCATGAGCTTGTTGCAGCTATATGGGGAGAGCTATACAGGGCCTTCCAGATTATACAGAACACTTTTTCTTCTTCTCTAAGTGCCAGTTTTCTCTCTTTACCAGAATTTCTTCTCTACCAGAAAGGTTGTTTTTTTCCAGATTGAGAGAAGGAAAAAATAGATTTCTTAACCTCTTGTAGGAACAACATGAGTATTCATAGTCATCTCTGTATGAAAGGTCTACCATGTCAGGAAAAATGATGCGTTTGCAGTGATGTTGTGTATAGTTTCCTGATTCTTCTATCAGAAGAATATTCTAAGATTAGATATTCCTTCATAACTCAGACCTATATTTATGCTGACAGATGTTATAGTTCCTATTTGGTGTTAATCTTAGCAGGCCCCTACAGAGGAATTCCCACGTTGTTTGTGAATAAAGCAGGCAGTAAAACATTTAGGAAATGTCTGTGTTTTAAGACACAATTCATTTCAGCCTGGGGATTTTTCTAAAGTAGTTGCAGACCTCCTAGCATCTGAGGGCAATAGTATATAGATATTTATATATATTATAATATATATATATATTTATATATTATATATAATAGCTATATAATATTACATATATTATATATTTATAATTTATGTGACTCAGCTTTGAATTTTCCTAAAATATTATGATGGGATGGTTATTTAGGAGACAGACTTTAAAAATGTTTCCCTAAACTTTGCTAAACACTGTTCTTAAATTGGTGCAGCTGGGAGAAAGGAAGTGGCTGGCAATAGCTTATTCAAAAAAGAAGCGTTTTCCAGAACAGCATTAGCTCCAGCCTCTAGTGGTTTTGGTTTTCTTTTTCGTGCCTTTTTTTTTTTTTTTAAGCATATGTGTGGGCTGGAGGGGGAGAAACAAAAGAAAAAGAAAGAGAAGAGCTGATCTGAGAACATGATACGACAGTGAAGGAGTAATGTAAATGAGGCCAAAGGAGAAAAGTAAAAAAGCAATCCTTCAACAAAGGATAGTTTTGTTCTATTAACCTCTTGAGCCAAAATGAAACGTGCATGTAGAGTAAGAAAAATGGTTCATTATTTTGCCTGAAAATTCTGAGCTTTAATTGTCAAACAATAGTCATTAGTTTGTCTTGACACAAGGCGCTTTGTCAAATACCACAGCTCAGCTTTACTGATGGCACAATTCCAACATGATCCCATGTGAAGCTGCTTTCTTTTTCCTTAAGTGTTGCAAATTATTTATAACAGATACTGAACAATGCAACCAAAATCATGAAGGATTTTTAATAGCCTGAAATCAACCCTCCTACAGTATTTTTATCATTGTGATTTATATCCCTTAAAATCCTCAATCTGAGCTTCTCATGAAGTTACACTCTGCAACTCTTTGTCACTGCTCCTGTCCAATCACATCCTGTTGCTCTGGGCAGTGAAACGGGGTCTTGGGAGAGGCCATGTGTTTCACAGAATTAACTCCCATCTGCCTTGGGCAATGCCAAGCTTGACCTGGCAGTGCAGCAGTGCCAACACCAGCTGGGGCACTGAAAGCCCACTCCAGGGCTTGCTCTGTACCTCTGAAAGGACTCAGTCTTACTGTCCTCGTGGGGCATCAACCACGTGTGTTAAAGGTGCTTGGAATGTCAGGGCATTTTACCTTGCTGCTTTCAGAGACTGCAATAATCTCTTGATTTAGCTTTAGGAGAGACAGTGCATCTGTGAAATTAGTTTGTACCAACATACCACTCAAAAATCTTCCTGTATTTATTGTTTCTGTGCCCTTTATTTTGCACTGAGCAACATTTTCTTTTTGTCAATGCCTAGGCTTTTGGCCTCTACGTGTTCGAGTGCTGAAGGACTATGTTTTTTCATGGAGTGTTTTGGGATTAAGTAATTCTTTGGTATTATAATGTACTAAATTTTGGACTCAGAAGCATATAATTTATATAATGTTTGGGAAATTAACTGCTATGGATTGCTCTTTTCCTGTTGTTTTGGGATCACAGTTGCTAAATTACTTCCTTTCAAAAACTGTCATTAGAAAACAGTATCAACTGACTTTAAATTTATATAGAGTCCTTCCATACATTAAAGCAGACTCAATAATTATGGTACTAAGTCATGAAAGAAGACTTACCATAACAACTTATCATAAAAACATAATCAATACAACCAGAGCTGTAAGTGAATGTAAACACGATTTAGTTTTATCTACTATCTGAAAAGGCTTTCTTCTGATAACAGAAGTGCTTACTGTAGTCCACTTGCTTTTTTCTTTGAATAGTGGTAGTTTAGCATTTGGAAAAGTGTATGGAAGGATAAATCAGAATTTTTTGGATACAACCTCTTCAAATAACTTTTTCTCTTTGAAACCAACATATAGTTGCTGTTAGCAACAAATGTTTGCTGAGCTCTGTGACAGTAGCAAATGGATTGTGGAAACATTCCTGTACCACCAATACAGCATTGCTCTGGCTGGTGCCACAGGGGAAAAGGAATACAGAAGGGACAAGCAGGGAGCTGCATTAAATGCTCCAGCTGAGAGCAACAGGCAATATTCTGCAGTGGTGGCTGAGCATTTTTCCTGGCCACATGGCCTTATTTTTCCTGGCAGGAACAATGGGTTGTGTGCCCAGGGTTCCACTGCTCACTCACAGCTGCATCAGGGTATCACATTGGAGTCAGCAGTAACAGCATATATGGAAAGTAATCCATGTAGGCAATGCTAGAATTCTGTACTGGTTTATTTCTGACTATTCAAAAACACCTTTACTATACTTTACTGCTGTCTAATAGCACTAAGAAGTGCTGCAGGCATTCTTCTAAAAAGAGATGAAAATTTTGTCACAAATACACTGACTGCAAAGCAGCTCTAAAACAAAGTCCAAGCAACCCTATTCTGTACCTAGAATGGAAAACAAATACGAGGGTTTTGACTGGAAGACTCAGTGTTATGCAAAACACACTAAAAAATACACATTCCTTTTTTTTTGGTCCTTCAGTACTGCAGAACAGTAACCTATGAATACCAAAAAGTAACATATGTAAAATAAATTTTACTACATTACTTTTTAAACTGTAGACTTGACTACCTAGGATGCAGCAAAAGAAGGAAGTTAGAACATTCTGTATAGAAGATTTAAGTCAGAAAATCTTTCATGAACACTCCTTGTCTGATGAGATAACAATATAAATTATCAAGGTCTTTTG